ATAGCATTTAAGGACTCTTCTAGGCAAAAGTGAGTTGATATTAACATATAATACATACATTTATAGTATATATTATATGTCATATATATATATATATATGTATCTATATATATATGGCCAAAAGTGTGGACACTTTNACAAAATAACATATATATATATATAACATATAATATGTACTATAAATGTATGTATTATATGTTAATATATTTTTCTTTTATTCTATTTTTCTACTCGAAATGCTTTCGCGCACTTTTAAATTCACATCCTGTCCTTAAATCTATTTTTGGCACAAGTATGCATTTAATTAAAAGCGGGACATTTTTCCCTTTTATCTTCGTGGGAATCACTCGACCTATTTCATAAACCAATAGTAATTTCTAAGATTTCTCTCTTTTCCCTAAATAGAGAAATTTGCGGATTTTACTTTGCAAGATTTTCCCTAACATACAACCGAGGAGCGCAACTTTTCGTGTACACACATTTCATGACTGCTCTGTCTTATAATTAATAATTAAATTTTGTATCCTCCTTCCCAGCCTAAGACCTGTTTTAATCCTTCTACTCGGCAATGACGTTACTCTCTTAAAATGAATGAGTGAAAATAACTCAACCTGAGTGCTATTTAACTCTTTCATCTAGATAAAACCGGCCTTCTCATCTTGAGTTAAAATCACTCAAGTGAAAGAGTTATTTTCACTCGAGTTAGAGTGATTTTCAGTATTACCTGAGTGAATCGTTTTCACTCAAACTTGAGTGATTTTAACTCGTGTTTGAGCGATTTTCAGTATTTCAGTTTGTTAATTGCAGTCAAAATTTTTACTGTTAATATTCGAAATTTTTTTATTTAGTGGTGCCATCTATCGTAAGCGATAGAAAATACTATAGTTTTTGTTTAAAAAAAATTCCTTTTGAAAGAAAGCCTTAGATAGGAATTTCTTTATCATAACGTTTGCTGAATTTAAATATCGAATTAGATAATATAGTACTTGTGAAAGTTTTCGCTGTGAGCATATCGACACTGTGTATCCTGGGATTCGAACTGGCTTCCCGTCTGTCGTGAGATTGACCGATTTGCCATCTCGGCTACAGTCCTGTGTCAAGGCGGCTACGAAGAACTAATTAGTTTCATGAGCTGGGTCTTGTTGGCGAGGATAAAGTTGTTACTTGTTAAATAAAATAAGGTGAAAACACAGTTAAATTTTTTTTTCAGAGTTAACAGTTTGAATAGCAGCATTTTGTGGTTATCCAATTATTTTGATTGTATACGGTAAAACAACAATTATATGAATTATTACTTGAGAGGTTTTTTTTATGAAAAATTCCTAACCACTGTAGATTTGAGTTTTCTTTCTTCTAAGTTACGTCATTTTTCTTTGAAGTTTAATTTTTAAAAGTAAAGGCTTGGTTTCTTAGGACAGGACGCCGTCAGCTGGAAATCCGCGCTAACCTCTGATTGGTCCATTTGTGAGTTTGATAGTATACGTCATCGAACGCTCATCTTGAACTACAATTGCCGTCCAACTCAACTGCAGTTGGATTACAACGTGACGTTAACCACAGAAGCAATGGCGGACAACATCCAACAGCACATTGAAATCAGTCAAGATTTTGATTTTGACATTAAACATAGCTTCTTCATTAAACATAGTACTCTTCATTTAGCTCAGCTATAATGTGTTTTTTCTTGGACAAAGTCATTATTTGTTCTCTAAAACACTGGTCGACAATAACAAAATCAATACAGATTCAAAATAAATATTTGTTTATGTTATTAACGCATGCGCAATGAGAGATAATGTCTGCGTAGGACCGACTGCTCACGCTGAGCTAACAAAAAAGTATTTTTATGGCGTCAGCTCTACGTCAACTTTCCGCTGACGCCCAGATAAGGCGCTAGTTCTAAGAAACCAGGCCTTGAGCTAACAAACCAGTATTTTGTTGGCGTCAACGGGACGTTGACGTCCCGCTGACGCCCAGATAAGGCGCTTGTCCTAAGAAACCAGACCTTAAGGAGCTCTAAACGAATTTTTAAAGTAAGCAGTTTTATAAATATTATGCTCATTTAGGTTCAATTTAAAATACTATGAGTTTCTTTCTTCGAACAAATTTATTCGTTTAATTTATAAAGCTTTATTTTCCAGCAATAAAAAAGGTGTATATTGTTTTAAATTGCCTAAATTTTTTTAAGACAAATTTCTGAAACTAAGTGAAATTAATAAATTTTTGAAGAAGTCGTTAGAAGCTAAAAAATCTGGATTAAATACCCTTTTTCAAACTCAATTTTGCAAACTTTTTTGACATAAATTTGTTTAAATCCAAACTATATATTTGTTTTGATTAGAAAAAAATAAGTGTAATTTTTGTTCTGCAATAATCCTAGCTTAGTATGAATTCGAATAAAAAAATTAACTAATTAACATTAACTACTTGACTTTACTTTAATATGGTTTTTACCATAAACTTTGCTCAAACATAGTTTTCTTAAGTCAAAAAAAAAAAATAAATAATAAAAATTAATGAAAACGACATTTTTAATAAAATTACTAAAATACAGAAATATTTAAATACCTAATTTTAGGCATATTTTAAACTGATTGTATCGCTTCTGAATTATAAATAATTACAATTAAATCAAGTATGTATTTTATGAATTTTAACTATTATGAATATAGATAGTGTACGATAGTGTCCGTTATCAATATATATGTCTAGAATTTTTACCTAATTGTAAGAAATTAATATATAATCAAAAAGAAAAAACATTATAAAAATTTATTATACCAGCCAGGAAAGCAAGATTGAAGACATCAAAATCTTTCAATTTTACAACAATGCAAAGTAATTGCAGTTTTTCTGCAGATTCATCAGAAAGTATACTTCTGAAACAATGACTGCATAATTACTTCAAATTTACTGCAGAATGACCACGGATTTAAAGTTTCAGTTTTTTCTAAATTTATGATTTTAAAGTGACCTCTCTTAAACTACAGTAATTTCGTAGACAATAGCTTTACATTAGCTACAAAATAACTGCCGTGTTTTTACAGTTAAGATTGAACTACAGAAAATCTGCAGTTAACTCTAGAAAAACTTCAAAATTACTTCAGTTCTGCAGAAAAAAAGCAGTTTATTTTTATCTGGGTTATGAAAGATCAATCCCCAATTCAGTACCCCAGCGGTATAATTTGTTATGAGAAAGTGGAGGACTTTGTGACCCAACAGATTCTGCATGCAACAGTTGCCATTTACTACACGTGGAGTCTTTGGCCGACGGGCATCGAACCCGCGACCTCTTGGATATGAGGACTGTGTCCTACTAACTTGGCTATCCGGCCTCTCTTATCCCTTAAAAGAATACATTTTATTTTAGATAAGTAATGTTTGAAATCAACGGGGAAATGGGGGTAGTTAATGAAAAAAAAAACATAAGATTTGTTTTTTACATAATCAGCAAAAAACATATTGATGTGTTTTAACATCTTAATGCTGCGATTCTCAACCTGTGGGGCGTGCCCCCCTAGGGGGGGCGAGCACACTAGAGGGGATTCGCGAGAATATCCAAGAGAAAATGTTATTTAAAAAAATTGACTAACTGGATGAAAGGAAAGCGCACCTACACATAGAAAACGAAATACTTTTCGGCATATTTAATAACTTATTAAAGTGAAGCAACTTATTAAATCAAAACTTAAGGTGGGGAGCCAAAGGTGGCTTTGCTTTGAGGATTTTTCCTAATTTTCTGGTTAAGTCTGTGTGGCTGAAATTTTTTTNTATATTTTATTAAAAAACGCTGAAAAACAGCTAATTTAAATGGAATGTGTATATAACACATTCAAAATAAAAGTATTTTCAAAATAAAAACAACAAAGTATATCTACTTACTGAAAAGTAAAACAGCGTCTTCTTCAGAAATACCGCTGTGAACTAAAAGTTGTTTTAATTCTTCTTAATTCAAAATATTAAATGACATATTCTCCAGAAAAAAAATTAAACGTAAAATAAAAACGAAGACATAATCTATTTAGATCACAGAGCGTAACAATTTTATTTAGATTTATTATCGTTTGCTTCTTAAAATAAAACGATACAAATTCCAGCTTATATCTCGCACACAATTAAATAATAAATAAATCACTCAAGTTTGAGCTAAAAGCACTCAGATATTACTTAATGAATACCACTCAAGTTTGAGTTAATGCAAAGCAAGAATTTCGCTCAAATAAGAATGTATTTCACTCAAGTTGAGTTAAAAAAATTTAACTCTCTTTTGAGTAGGGGAAATAACTCTTTCATTTTAGGAGAGTATATATATAGATATAATATATTCTATAATATATAAGGAAAACACTTTAGACTTCGATGTTTTGCGATATTCGCAAACTATCCATCCTCATAAAAAGAAATCTGAAATTTTAAAGAACACAAACTAGGTGGAATCGATCCACACCATTTGGCTTTGAGGATGTTGAGAACGATTTAAAAACTTAAAAGGTTACAACAAGTATCTGATCCATTCCGATGGGGAAAAAAATTATATATGCTGGCCTGCTTTAGACACTACTTTAGATCAAGAAGGATATTGAACATAATATTCTTAATGTATGCCTGGAAGAAGCAGCAGTTCAAAGGCTTCATGAAAACCACTGAATCAGGTCATCTCATATATTCCATGATTAAAACCTGCTATTTAAGGCTTCACGTAAGGACAGGGTGAAGTAAGGATTGAATCTAGAAGGTTTAAACAAGTATCTGATGCACTCCTATGGGAAAAAAAAGCTTCTTACTTATGCTGACTTGCTTTGGACACTACTTTGGATCAAGAAGAAGATTGAACATAACATTCTTAATTTATGCCATGAAAAAGCAGTAGTCCAAACACTTCATGGAGGCCACTGAACCCCTTCATCTCATACTTTCCATAAACTGAAGAGAATGTTATTTATGGCTTCAAGCAAGACAGGGTAAAGTGAGAATGCAATCAGGCAGTAGAACCATCTTACCTCTAGTTACAGACTTCAAATAATCCATTTGGGGTGATGGTAGAAATTTCTAGCAATCTTAGATAAATTTTTTCGATTGCTTTTTCTTTGTCGATCCACATTTCTTAGAACACCCTTTCAGACTTGAAGGGAGAAAACCGTTTCTGAGATGCTAGATAAAAGAAATAAAGTGAGTTGGGAAAAGCTTTATTATTGTATTTGGGTAAGTACTCACTGAAATAAATGAATATGAATGCTTTGAATAACTTTTAATCTAATGATCTGGTTCTCAAGCACGAAAACTCAATCCAAATATTTCGAGGACCCAACCATAAATATGCAAATTAGTTAGAGTGGAGAAAATTCTACGTTGCAAAATCAGACACAAAAACGTATTTTCTATGAATGAACATGCCACTTTTTTGATGGATTTGGACTCTTGATCTCAAAACTATGGGGGAGGGATAGTAACAATATATTATTCTGGAGAAGTGTCAACGCCTGAATTTGGATCAGTTCTCGAGAAATAAAAATTTAAATATAAGATTTTTTTAAATTGAATAACTCAGAAACTATTCGTTCATTTCCTTCCAAGTTCGTTATTTAGGCATTTTAAACTACATACTTTGAAATAACGTGAAGATTTTTATACCGTCTTAAGACGAATTTTTTTCCATATTAAATAAATTTTTAAAAACAATAAATAATTTCTAAAACTTTTTCCTTCGATGGAAACGATTTTTATAATAACGTGCAAACTTTTTAGTTTTACTTAAAATGTTCTCCAGAAAAAACAAAGTACGCAGAAAGTGAAATTAGTTTTGAGAGATTTAAACTTTCGATGGCTCTGTTTCCTAAACTATCAACTACCTGAACATATTTTTCTGATGGTAGTAATCTCCCTCCCCCCCATATTTTGAAAGTCAAAAATCCAAATTCGTTGAAAAAAAGACATGCTTATTCAAAGAAAGTAAGTTTTTGTGTCTGATTTCTTAACCGAAATCGTCTGAACTAATTTCTTAGATATTTTATGTAAGTTTTCGGAAACATTATTGAGTCTTAATACGGGAAAATCAGATCATTAGATCAAAAGTCATTTAACAACTTCACAATTTTGCCCACAATGTAATATAAAATTCAATTTCCGTCAGAAAATGTGTTTCAACATTTTCCCATGAATTTCAAATATATACTATTTACGATATATATACTACCTCATGAGTTAAAATAAATCACTACAAATTCGTCAGCGAAAGGCGAAAACATTATAAACTAAACAAAGCTTTAAATTTAACCTAAACAATTTACAGTTTATTTTAAACCAGTTTTATCAAAAAGTTAAAATTAAGCAAAGTTTTAAATTTTAGTATAACTAAACATACAAATTTAATTTATTATTATTTCACAATATTTTTCTTTATTCATTCCTCATACTAGGAAAGTTCTGTACCAAAATGTCAGACAAGTTTTTACAAGAAATGAATGGGAAACATTACAAACTCTATGAGTATAACTCGTACCATCCTTTTAAAGAAAGCGCTAATTTATATTTATAATTTATATTTATAATTTATATTTATAATTTATATTTATAATTTATGATTTACATTTATTTATAATTCTTAATTTATATTTACAAAACTAACTTCCTAAATTATCTATTATTCTAGTAAAGTTTTGCTGCATAACAATTTTTTCCTTCCCTAGCAATTCAGCATTAACTCAGCTCAAATTTTATTCTTCTTTTTCAGCTTTTAAAGCAGCGTTCATACATAATTGATCCCTTGCGATGAAGATATTAAAAGTTTAGAAAAACATTTCACTGGAGGGATGATCCCATCGTAGTTACGATTTTATCCCCCTTTCCCCCTGTCACCTTTTCCATGGTCCACAATAAGCATGCGCGTGAGACAAGGATCGAATGAGGTGTTACCATATTTGGCACTTTATGGTGAAATCATAATTCCCTATTTCATCCTGGACTTAACCATGGTTAAGATTTGATCTTTGTAATTTCCCCTTTGAAACTAATTACTTTTGATTCATCTTTTATGCATTTATTCTTAATTATTATGCTAATAATGCTATTCATTATGTAATTTAATTTACATAAAAAGCAGCGTTTTGTTAAATTCTTTGAAGCACTCTTTTCTCTTTAAATAGGCAAAGATATGATAATAAGGATAAGAAAAAGATAAATCAAAGTTTGTTTTTCGTTTATTTATGAAATGTATTGAAAAAGTTGATATATATTTATTCAAGAATGTGTTTTTTCATTTACAGTGCTTGTAAATTATATTTTTTATTCATTTTATACTTTATTCATTTTTTTATGTTCATTATGTGTTTTTTATTCTTTAATATTTATTTCTCTCTGTATCTATTCTGATAGTAAAGGCCATCAACGTTTTCGGGTTAAACTTAACGTTATATTTTGTTTTACTGCTCATAAATTATAAGACTTTGAAACTTAAAATTACGAAGTGCAGATAAATTTACATGGAGTACAACAAAATGAAAAAAAAATGTAAGATATTGATAATTCATTTAAAAATGTTTTAATGTTAAGCTTACATGTAAACATGTTAAATCTCATGCAGACTACTCTACAGGTCTTAGGAATACAACTACAGAATTAAAATTTGACATATTATAGGGCTCTGTTTGTTTATAAATGTAACAAAGGTTTTTTTTTTCTTTTTCTTTTATCAAATTCTAATTTGTTTGAAAGTTATTGCAATTTTCAAGTGCTTTTTTAGGAATTGTTTTTCAAATTTTTGCTTTGCTTTTAATTTTTTTTAATCAGCAAAATTTATTAGAATTAGGAATTTGAAAATACGGGTTGTATAAAAAAATGCACAGTGCACAAGAAAATAAACGAACCACTCTGAATGATTTTTGATCTAATGATTGGATCTTCAAGTTCTAGCAAGCGATCTAAATGGTCCGAGGCGGTGGCCTCCAATAAGTTAATTAATTAGTTCAAGTGATATTTTAAAGCACCGATTCAACACAATAACGTACTTTCTCTGATTAAACATACCTTCATTTCCACGAACTTGGATTTCCGACCCCCAAAATATAGGGGAGCAGCAATTGCTAAGGGGATAGAGAGTTCTCTTTCCAATGAGCTGAACCGAGTTCGAATCCCAGAGATAACTGGTCGATACGAATACCGCATCCAGCTGGCGTAAAATATCCTCAGAGGTAGACGCATCATGGGTTAGAGTCCCCTTGCAGTCAGGCTAACCATTTGAGGTTTTCATGGTTTTCCTCTCCATGTAACACAAATGCAGGTTAGTTCCATCAAGAAGTCCTCTACGAAGGCAAATTCTCCCAATACTTGATTCAGGAGTTCCCTTGTCTTCTGGATTGGGTTCAAAATTACAAGGCAACGGATTTGAGCATTAGTAGTCGTGAACCCAAAAAACTGTGTCAGCTGTTCAACGACGGATATGAAATAAATATATAAATAAAAATATAGGTGGTAGCCGCAATGATAACTGGGAATAATGGTCTATAATATATCGGGGATAATATATCTATAACACATCTAATATATCTGGCAAATATAGATAAATATTTTGGTCAGGAGAGCGGTCCAAAGTTTGGACTCCTTAATGTTAATTTTACTTTTTGCGTATTTCACCATATCTCGAGAACTTTTTAAGCGAATTTAAAACTTTTTTCACTCAATTATAAAATTCGTTTATCCAAAATAAATCAATATAATAAAATAACTTTCAGTAAATACTTATTATTTTTTATTACTTTATTTACTAATAGGTGAAAGGTTTTGAATTATAAGATATACGATTTTTTACATAATTTTATAGATTTTTAATTTGACATAGCGAAATATTAAGTTTGAGCGAAATCGGTTGAATCAATCCAGACAAATGGAATTTCAAAAAAAGTAATATTTTTATTACTATTAAGGTAATTTTTTTTACCGTAATTTGATCTGTTAATTTTTACAGTGTAGGTATTTAGGAAATACTTTTTGTAATTACTTTTCTATACCTATAATAGAGATTTTTAAATATAGTGAAGACAGAATTAATATAATTAAAAACTTCAGTTTACTGAAAAGTTTAAACATTTAAGTACATAAGAGTTGAATTTATTTATGACTATTTTAGTCAATAAATATATTCTTTAAGCAATAACTTTTAACCTTGTGATTTTTGCAATATTCATTGATATGCATTTTGATAAAGTGAATTCTTACTGAGAAAGGAGATTTATGTTACGGATGCAGAAATTACATTTTATGCTCATGAAAACTCAGACAAATTATTTACAGTAGTAACTACAAAGGTATTTATTCGCTTTTCTTACTAATAAAATAGACTAAAATTTTTTATTAAGAAATTTAGTTATTCCACTATTAAAATTGATGGTAAATGTGTTGAAGAAATGCACGAACATTATTTCCTTTATTGAAAATGTATGATTGTGTCTAGACTTTTAATAAAAGTTTAGACATCACGAATTTGATTTTTATGATTTTAAGAATAGTTCGCTTAATATAAATGAATAATGTTTGGTATCATATATTTCTGATTAAAAATAACAATTGGGGAAAAATATTGCTAAAAATATTTGAATACAAAAAAAATTTATTGGAGAACAATTCGATTATATCTATTGATAATATGCATTAAGTAAATACGCACGTATTCTTTCAGTGATTTGAAAACTTAATAAGGTTTGTTATAATTTAAAAAATCGAACCCTAATTCTAACATTTAAACTCATTTTAAAGACATACTTGTATATCAATAAAAAATTATTTTAATTTTTAATATTTTATGTTTCGTCATTTAAAATACCAACAGAAAATAACTTTACAAACGAATGATTTTTTGCCTTTTTTTTATTGAGAAAATAATTGACTAAATGAAAAAAAAAAGCAACAAAGTATATATTTATCAAGTTTTAAGAAACAATTGCATGTGTATTCAAAACTTTTGCTCACATAAAATTGAACCTACTTCATATAGTTTTGTCTTAACTTTTTGTCAAGAATTTTTCTTTATGTCTTAGAAAAGATCTTCTCCGTCTGCGGAATATGTAATACTTCGAATTCCACACCCTTTCTTCTGCTGTGGACTTGAGAGGGACGATTTGACCGAATATCCCCTTTTTAGTGATTTTTCTGAACATAGACAAACTCTAAAAGCTGGTCTAGCCTATTGA